TAGAACCTGAGGCGGGACCTCGTGCGCAAACTCTGACGTGCGGCTGTGATTTATAAAGGAAAGATATTCAGAAACGTGCGTACGTACGGTTTTATAAATCAGAATTTTTTTTTTTTGTCGTACGCCATTTCCGCCTTTTGGCCGTACGTTCATTTTTAGTATGGTTTCCACGCAATCCTTTATAAATGAGACCCCAGGTCTGTATATGAGAGGAGACTGAGAGACTTTCATATATTATATATTGTAAAAAGTCAGAAAAAGGCCTTTTTTAGAGGTTTTCCCAGCACCCTTTGCAGCAGAGACATCATTTATTTAGATGATTTTTTGTTTTGTTGATGAGTTTGTTGAAAAAAATTTAAAATGTGAAACAAAAGGGACATCTTTGCTTTAATCTGGGGCATACAAATATGTGTTTTATGTGAGTGAGTCATGGACTTCCAGCTAATCATTAATTTTTTTTATTTTTTAATGTTTTAATATACAAACTAAATTAAAAGAAACATTATTTTTTTCAATGCCTCTTCCCCTTCCCATGCACYCTCTTCCTGTTTCAGTCTGAAATACTACTATTATTTAATATTATAATAACTTTCCTGGAAGTTTAGCTTTAAAACAGACGTGAACGTTATCGTCTGTAATCCATGAAGAATTCTGAGCTGTGTCGACTTACATTTGTCATATGTTTGGTTTGATATCTGTGTTAAAGTTTAGTTATTGAATGTAAATCTGACACCATGGCTGAGAGGTCTGAGCCAGGTGAATGGGTGAGGTGTTGTCAAATGACAACTTAATGTTAAGATATCAAATATTAACTATTCAGTTTCTGCCAATTTTATGATTTTTCTTTTTTTTRCCTTTTTGGTCAGTTTAGCCTTTTATTGTTAGCAGAACTAAGAAACTTGAGTAGAAGACATTGATGAAGCTAATATTCTGGTTAGTTGTTCTTTATGCTCAAATTATGTAACATCTATTCCATCAAATGATTCCCAACAAATTCAAATGTTCATAATGAGGCAGAAATGCATTAGATAAAGTAAAAACAGGAGACAGGGAAATGTAAAAGCAACACATGGAAATAAAGACTTGTGAAAAAAAAAAACTATAAAAAAATTCATGAAAAAAATAAGAGGCACAAATGTATCTGCAAGTACAAGTAAAAATAAACAAATATTTATATTTAAAATCAGTGACATCTCATATTACTGCTATAATATATAATTTGTTGGAACGAAGCTGGAAAAATGAAGGTTAATTAAATTATAAAACATGATGCAAAGTTCTCCCTTTTAAAAACAAATAAGTGCATTTCAAGTGTATATATTTATTGGGCCATTTATATATTTCTGCTTTTTTTTTAAAAATTATGTGAGCTTCAGTCCTCCGTAAAAGTCGGCGATGCATATGAAGATTTTTAATTTTTACTTTTTTTTTTAACTTTCACAATCATCAAACCATCTTATAAAAAGGAGATGTGTGAGCAGCTTCAATTAAACTTTTACCTGGACTTTTATAATTAATCATTTTAGAGTGATTTAAAAAAACATTTTGACAGCCTCAGCATTAAAACAAGAAAGTCTCTGGCGCCCCCTCACAGGAGGTTCTTTAAAATGTCACAACTTGCTTCAAAACAAACCCATTTTATTTGACTACATTTCCCTAAATTGACATTTTATAAAATTCTAACCCATCTTTAGCTGATAAATGTAATATTTATAGAACTTCTGTTACCTTGACCAGCTTGGGGTCCTGGTGTGGGAGCTGGCTGTTGGGTAGTTTGTCTCTGTGGACGATCCAGGGGTGTTTAAGGACCTGTCTTGCAGTCAGTCTCTGATGAGGGTCCACGTGCAGCATCTTGGACACGAGCTCCTAGAAGCAGCAAAACATCACATGAGTCGGATCCTTTCCAGACCTCTGCGACCGGATTCAGAGTTAATAATCTGAGGTCTACCTTGGCAGCATCAGACACAGTGTCCCAGTTGCCTCCAGCTAAACTGAAGTGACCGTTCCCTATCCTGTTCAGGATCTCGTTCGGGGTGTCCTCAGGTCCGTTAGCAAAAGGAGTAAAACTGGTGGAAAGGAGAGCGACGGAGTGAATATGAAGAGCAGCAGAAAAAATCTTAAAGAAAGACTTTGAGGTGTTGGTATTCACCCCGCCAGCATGGTGTAGAGTAAAACTCCCAGACTCCAGATGTCACAGCCTTCATCATAACCCTGACGCTTCAACACCTGCAAGCAGGTCCAACCAGGCGTTACACCAGAACGTTCAACAACAGGATTTTCTTCTTTAATTTCACCAACCACTCATTTAGACCTGCTCACCTCAGGAGCTACAAAGTTAGCGGTGTAACACGGAGTCATCAGGAGGCCGTTGTTGGCGCGCAGCTGCTTCGCAAAACCAAAGTCACAGATCCTGATGGACTCGGGATTCCCCGATTCATCGACGTACAGGATGTTGCTGGGTTTCAGATCTCTGTGGACCACCTGAAGAGCAACAACAAAAACAACAGAATGATGGAATTAAGTGTTCATGGTAAATGGATTGAACTTGTATAGCACTTTTAAGTCCCTCCAGATCCCAAAGCACTTTACACTACAGACATTCACCCAGTCACACACATAAAAATCATCTCAGGTAGAGTGGAGCAACAAAAAACACCTCGGTTTCAACGTTGAACTTTTTTCAGTTTCATAGTTAACACTTTACTAAATAAAACAATTACAATTATCACAGAAAAAGCCCTAGTATTCCTTTACATACTTTTAATTTACTTTTAATTTGTGTTTGGTAAAAGATTTTTTTGTTGTAACAATGCTTGTTGACAATAAATCTTATCCCGTTTGAAAGCCTGTTAATTTCCTTTTAAATGGTGCCACATTTGCAGAATTGTTTAATAAATTTACTTTGTCGTTTTTGGAGGATCTGTAATTTTACAAAGCATTTTTTGTAATCATAACTTTTATTTCTCTACATTCAAAAACATAAAAAAGGATACTGTCACTTTTTCACTTTAAAATTTAACAACTCATTATACGTTACAAATTTAAATATGAAAGTTGATGATGCACTCTGAAAAAAATGACGAATTGCATTTTCTTAACTAAGTCATGTCAACTGGTTCCACTGAACCAAGAAAAGTAAATTGCTTTAACTAGTGGAACCAGCTGACATAACTTGGTTAAGAAGTTCAACACTTCATTTCTTAGAGTGTGTGTACATGTAGCTTTACTTTCCTGATAATTCTGTYCAGTTTTATGACTTTTATTRAAGTACTTTTCTTATTCATAGAATTCATTTTRACCAGTCATTTTCTGTTAAGTTTTTCTTTTATTCTTACTTAATTATCTTTAAGRACCTCTGCACATTTGAAAGGAACATGTATTTGTGGGATGAGCAGTAGAGCTGAGTATGTGYGTTGTGAACAGGAAAAATCAGCCAAATCTCTGACATTACCGAACAGCTTATTTAGCTGTWGCTTTTGACTCTTGTTTTCAGCTTCTGGTACCCTCATGTGCTGACAATCAGGTGTTTGGTAGAAGATTTTGSTTTGTGGGAGGAAACCGGAATACCCGGAGAAAACCCACGCATGCACATAGAGAACACGCAAACTCTACCCAGAAAGGTTCTGGGTCGGGATTCAATCCGGCGACCTTCTTGCTGAGAGGCAACAGCTCTACCAACTGAACCACCGTGCTGCACGGAACCAATCTACCAAACACTGATTTCCWTACGRTCTYTGCCAGGTGTATACAGAAACATGTGCTGCAGCTGTGGCTGTTCTCACCCCCTGTGAGTGGAGGTACTCCACCGTCTTGGTGATGGTGTGCAGCACAGAGCTGGCCTCTCGCTCCGAAAAGAACTTCTGCTTGAGGATCCGGTCCAGCAGCTCTCCTCCTCGCATCAGCTCCGTCACCATGAACACCTGCTTACCGTTATCGTACACCTGGGACACGACCAGAGGTCAGACAGGCTCACCGCATGTGAACGTTCCTGCTCCACCTACAGCAGAAACATAAAGTCTGACTCACGTCCTTCAGTGTGATGATGTTGGGGTGTTGTCCGTATCGAAGCAAAATCTCGATCTCCTCAGACGGATCTGTGCTGGTTTTGTCGATCACCTGAAAAAAGCAGCTGTTTGTTGCACTTTTTTTCCCCCCACAATTTTTCTTTACATGACAGAGTTCTCGTTGTTTACTCGTACCTTGACAGCGTATTCAGTGTTGGTGACTTTGTGGATACATCGCTTACAGACAGAGAAGGAGCCCATGCCGATGTCCTCCTTCAGTACGTACCCGTCGCTGAACAGAAGGTTCTTTCCGTGCAGCTGCTGCAGAGGAAGTGAATAAAATTAGAAGAGTTGCAGACTTAAAGATGAGGGTGGAGGATGGTAATAGATTTTTTTTTTGTGGGGGGGTTTGGGTTTATTTGTAGAAACACTCTTTTGCTTTAAATCTACAGCACACAGTTAATTCCTGCTAATATTAGGCATGAAATAAGTTTCCCAAGCATTTTTATCGAGGAGGTCTCAAGGTTTCTTATAACTTCAACAAACTAGATCTGAAATTTAAGTACAAATAATTACATGATTAATACAAATAAATTACTTACAATCCACTAAAGAGTGTTTTTCACATCGTTCATAAACTTAATCAAACTTCATTAAGAACAAAATTGTTTCATTTATTGGGAAAAATAGGTTTTGTTGTATTTAATGGCAGCAAAACATCTAAAACAGGCAACAAAYATGGTAAAAGTAATAAGAAACAGCTAGAAGAGCATTGTGCAACTAATTAAATTCACTGACGTGTCAGAAGACACGGAAAAGAGAACTTTAGAAGTAAAGGCAGGCAGAGGTTCAGCAGTCTGTGAGAAACTGCAGCTACAAATGGTAGACCAGTTTCAGGARAATGATCTTCAAGGAAAACATTGGTAAACTTTGAATATCCTTTTCTATTTATTTATATATATCCTATTTATTGCCACCGGAGCTGACAGGAAACCACACTGGCGAAAAACCAGGAAGTACATCAATTTATACATGGTTCTTCAATGCTTGRGTTCGCCCCCTACTGACCTACGGCTGAATCACAGGCATTCAGACAAAAATCTCATCTACTGTTATCATAACGTTTTAATTATGTGTTATAATTCGGACATGTAACTAATCTATATCAATCAAAACATAATAGATTAAACATTGTCCATTATAAAAAGGAAAACCTAAAAATATAGTGTTGTGCTTTTAACATCAGTACTAACCTCTAATAAATATAAATTTCTTCAATCCCATTATCTAGATCAGTGTTTCACATCCTTTTCAGACCTGTGTACCCCCTGAGCCATTTTGTCATACGACTAGTACCCCAACTACCCYACTAGTACAAAGACGATTCTCCAAAACTGTAATGTAAAACAACTGGTTATTAAACTGAATAAAYCAAWTTATTTAACCCCCTTAACTAGAATATTTAATTCTCAGGCGTTTTATTCTTTTCAACTCAAATTAAACAKAGAAATATGTTGRCTAGAAAGTGAATAAGTAATMAAATAAATAAACCAGGTAATGGCAGGTACAGGAAGCAGCAGCGTCCACAATACTGTARATCAGAAACTCATTCAAATAAGCAAATTCTGTGAAATTCCTCATTTTATACTGGATTCCATTTTGTTTTGTCAATTCTGTGATTTCGTGTGCATTTTCTGCACTGCGGATATCACAGGGACCTACGTAGGCCTACATCCCTGTTCTTTTTTTAGTTTTTACACAACTGGGAAATTTTTTCCACGTACCCTCAGTAAAATGCTCACTTATCCTTGGTTAGAAATCACTGATCACATGACCCTGTTCTAACTTATGTTTCCATCAAACTAAAAATMACTTTTTTCTCATGAAAAACTTAATTTCTTAGTTTCAAAATTTGATATTTTTACTATTTTCCACAGTGAATAAAATGTGTTCAGCAGATTTGCAAATCACTGCATTATGTTTCTATTTATATTTTACACAACAACCCAATGTTTTCAGAACTGGGTTTTATTTTACTTCCTTGGTTTTTAAACTCATCTTACAAAAATAAGCAATAATAATATTTTTTCAAACATGAAGMTTACTAGACATTTAGTTGGAAATATCAAAATGTATTCATCTAAAAAAAAGGGTCTCTTTAATTTTCTCAGATACGATTCACTCTGTTGCTTCGTTTGAGCCAACAAACATGTCCAACATGTGAATATTCGCTGACCTGGACCACCGGGTGAGGAGGAGCCTTCACGGTCTCTGCAACGCCTTCCTCCTCCTCCAACAGAGTCGAAGCAACAAAGCTGAAACCTCTGAASAGCTGATGAGCTCCTGCACTGGGTGGCACGCCAGGGGAGTCTTAAAATAAAACAAGAAAAACCCAGCAGGTATTAAAAACATCTTTGCCCTTAAAGAAAAGGAACACACACCTTGAACCACAGTCTGTAAGGATTTAAGCTCAGAGATGGAACTACAGGAGCCAGACCACGTCTTTGACCTCTCACCTTTCGGCGTGCGAGATGTGAACTCTGAGTCAAAGTAAAAAGTATCGTCTGGTCGAGCTACAGCCGGCCTGAACGGAGGTTTTGCTTCTTTTCTAAAGAGTTTCTGAAAGAAAGAAAAACCTATTTGTTAACTACGAGTCAAATTTTGCATAAAACAAACCCAGACTTTAATAACCAAATACTCACATTCCAGTCTATAGTGGAGAAGAAGCCGTGTCGCTTTATCTCCTCCGCWCCGTCAGAACCGGATCCTAGGAGGAAAAGCATTCAGCATCATTACCTTTCTGTGTGAAAGTGAGCCACATATCCTGCCATCTGATCCTCACCCAGTCTGTTGGCAGGGTTCCTCTTGAACAAGGCCCTGAGCAGAGACTGGGCCTCTGCACTCAGGAACTGAGGCATTCCTAAACGCGCCCTGCAGGGAGGGACACAGGGTTCATGTTAGGCCCTGGTGCTGGCGGCGTGGTGCCACGCGTCAGTGCAAAATCCAGACTTTACTCACTTCAGAATCAGATTCATAGTTTCTTTGCGGTCCTTCCCTTGAAATGGAAGTGCTCCTGTTAACATCTCAAACTGTGAGAGGAAAAGTAAGTCAGTGTAGCTGAAAACATGAGATGTATATTGAAAAAAAAAGACTGGCTCTTTGTTAATCTGCTCACCATCAGTACCCCAAATGACCACCAGTCAGCGCTGTGGGTGTGTCCCTGCCTGTTCACGACCTCCGGGGCCATGTACTCCACAGTACCACAGAAGGAATAGGCTTTCTTCTCGTGATCGATGGCTTCTTTACACAGGCCAAAATCTGGACCAAAACACAAGAAAGCATCTCACGTCTTAGTTTTATTTTTTTTAAATAAAGAAACTAATGCATGTGAAACAACAGAGGAGCTCTGCCGGCAAAGTGTGACTCCTACTGCATCTGTGAACTTCCTCAGGTCACCTTTGCTTCAGTGGCAGCGGGGCCCATAGCTGTGATAAGAGTTAACGAGGGAAACAGGCCTAAGATAAACCTGTCACGGCACTGTGAGGAATGAAGGTCAGCAGGGTGAGGGAGATTCAGGTGTGTGTGTGTGTCCTTGTTTCTGCTACAGAGTGAGGACCGTCGTTAGTTTTTATTGAACAAAGTGAGGAGATTTTTGAGAAGTAAGGACATTTTCCTGGTCCTCTTTTTTGCAGTTAGGTTAGTTAGGTTTAGAGGTTTGGTGTGAGCTCAGTTTTGATTAAGGTTAGAGGCTAGGTTTAGGGGAAATGTTTGCATAAATGCAGTTATAAAAATGAATGGAAGTCAATACTTYGTCTTTAGTTTGATGCAAATACAAATGATGTGTGCGTGTGTGTGTGTTCTATAAAAACGTTAGGGTATAAAGGAAGCAGCAGCAGACTCACCTGTGAGTTTGATATGTCCAACCTCGTCCAGGAGAATGCTGAGAAGAAAACACGAAGACATCATGTATCGTATGGAACAAATGTTCATTTATCTCTACATTCTTGCTTTGGAAAATATCCCCTTTTATCACTTCTTCATGACAACACTTTGTTCTTACTTTTCAGGTTTGAGGTCTCTGTAAATGATACCCAGGCTGTGAAGGTGGTCCAGCCCTAAAGCCAGCTCAGCTAGATAAAACTTCACATCCTCCTCTGTGAACATCACCTGAAAGGTTTTGGGAGAAACAAATAACACAAGAGTCATAAACAACATAAWTAATAATAATAATTAAAAGCTGCAATCTATGCCATAGTGTTTAATTCAGATGATATGTTCAGAAAGAAATTCTTTGCAGCCGTTTTGGACAAACCTTGAGAATAACATTATGCTTAACTTCACACAGTTCTGTGAGACTTTGCTAAATCTGTTAGCACTCGCAGTATGTGTTGGAGACTACTCTCAGCTACTACCTCACCAGGTTTTAATTCAAATCTGAAAAACGTTGAAAAGGTTTAAATCCAAAAGTGAATAAGCTGTAAAAAATACATCTAGTTATTAATTTCTGAAAGTTTCATTGCATCTGTCTARTGGTTTATGAGATGTTTTGCTAACACAAATAAAGACACACTCAAATCGTGACCCTCAGAAGTCAGAAGAATCAGAAGCCTTTTCAAGAACCAGTCTCACCTCTTTAGAGAGTCTCGTGAAAAGATCTCCACCTCGGAGAAAATCTAAGATCAAGTACAGCTTCCCCTCYGTCTGGAACGCTACAAACACACACATTCCACTCAAATGTAAACATCAAACTGTTCAGTGCAGTGAGCTGACCAGATCAGCCGATACAATGAGATTATTAACATCTGGAGGCAGATGTGAAAACATCAGGCTGCTCACCGTAGTGCAGTTTGACAACAAACGGGTGGTTGACGTCTGCCAGGATGTCTCTCTCCATCTTGGTTCTCACACGATCTCTAACTGCAGGATGGACGAAGAGAAGAGGGGTTCATTTATTACATGAAAATGAAATGTCTCCAAACAGGAACCTGATGAGAATTTAAAGATTTTTATTGCAAATAAACAGAACAGGTTTTGTAAATTTGTTTTGTGTGCTGATCTTAAACAGTTACTTAGATCTTTTGGTTAAACGATGAATGTTATGTTTCTGTTTTAAGCAAAGTTTCTGACAGATTCACCTCAAAAAGTACTTTTCTGTCCATCCTCTGGAATTTGAAAACGATAGAATTTGTCTGTGTCCACCCAGAAACTTTTAGATTTGAAGACAATCATGTAGTTTAGGAAGCAGGTCTAGGAGAGCAAATTTATTCTGACAAAGTTATGAATGAAACTCCAATAACAAGATTATTTTCTAATGTTCCAAACTGACTGTTTAGTTTAGCATGAATTATCTGAAGGAAAAATATACTGCCTGGCCAAAAAGAAAAAGTTGCAAACTGGATTTAACTAAGGTCTATGATGTGGGGTTGCTGCATTTGGTCAGGTGTAGGTTCAGCAACAGTATGTGCTGAAAGAATGAGGTCAGCAATGCCACACCGAATGTGTGCCGTAATCAAAGCTAAGGGTGGTACAACCAAATATTAGAGTGTGTGACCTTTTTTGTTGGTGGCGACTTATTTTTTTGTCCAGACGGTGTAATAATTTTTTAAAAAAGGCGGAGTGCTTAAGAAGCTGAAACCAAGATGCTAAAGCAGTAATATACAAAGCAATAACTTATAAGCCTAAAGTAGCAAAACACTAGATGAAAAAAGGAAAAGGCCAAAAGTAACAATAAGTTTAAAGTGGTAAAAGGATAGGTACAAGCAGCAAAAGACTAGCTAAAAGCAACAGAAATGAGTTAAAAGCTAGAGAGCAAAGGGTTAGCCAAAACCAGCAAGACTAACAAAAAGCTAAAGCAACTAAAGGCTAACTAGAAACTAAAAGTAGCAAAAGGTTAGATAAAAGCTAAAAGTACCAAAATGCTAACTAGAAGCTAAAAGTAGCAAAAAGCTGGATAAAAGCTAAAAATAGTAAAAGGCTAACTAGGAGCTAAAAGTAGCAAAATACTGGATAAAAAATAGAGTAGCAAAATGTTGGATAAAAAATAAAGTAGCAAAATGTTGGATAAAGCTAAGTATCCTACTTCAGCTTAAAGTTGCAGAATAGTAAAAAGCCTAAAGTAGAATAAGATGGTAAAAATTAAAATATAAGCATATTTCTTCAATAACAGTGTTTTTCGTGGAATTGAAAATATCTCAGTATATGTCTATAGGGAAAAATACTTACAAATAAAGATAAGTACTTATTAAAGCATAAAATGTACAAAAACTAAAAGTCACCACATCCATTTCCTGAATAAGATTCATGGTTTGATATATGAAAGACTGAAATGGCACGAAGTATGCATAAGTAGATTGCAAAAAATAAAGAGAGAAATTAAAAATGAAACCAAAGTGAATGCTGAATCAACATTTTGAACATTGTGTAAAAATATATATAATTTACTACATTTATTAAAAAGAAAAAAAATTAAACATGTCTCATGATTTGTTCATTTATAGTTAAACACAACAGCTGTGAGAGTGTGTGAACTATTTTCATGCCTCTGTTTACCAAGAAGAACAAACCACATCATCTGTGCTCAAAGCTGTAAAAAAAAAAGAACCACAGAAAGTTGGGGGTGGTCTTTGCCTTTACATTAATTTGTGTACTTGTATTTGACTAACAGGAAACTATACACAACTGAGGCTAATAACCACTATGAAAAAATCCCATCAAAGTAAAAGAAAAAGTATAAACGTAAGGGTTATACTGTTTAATACTGCATGTATTACAAAAAGGTGAATTTGCACCATAGCCTATCTTAGCATCTTGAAATTGACCTCCGTTTCCATTAGAACCTCCTGCCATTTCGCACACTCCCACTTCAGCACGTTGTCATCACAATAATGCTTCAGGGGAGGGGTGCTCTGTAAGGCTGGAACTCGGCTGCAGACTGAGCTCCAAGGAGGAGCTTTGGGTAAATAGGTGGTGCTTTGTACCAGCAAGCGTTTAGACAGCTCCACATGGCTACCACAGGAGATCCAAGGATTCAAAGCAACACTCTGGGTAAGTTTTTTATGAGTGAATGACATTATAACATGGAGGATGTCATCACCACCAGGACTGTGATCTGTCACCCGAATCAGAAACCCTGGCTGAATGCAGAGGTGCGCTCTCTGCTGAAAGCCAGGGATGCTGCCTTTAGGTCTGGTGACCAACAGGAGCTCAGGAGGGCCAGAAGAGAGCTGACTGTAGGAATAAAGAGGGCAAAGGCTTCATATGCTCAGAAAATCCAGGGTCACTTCACCTCCAAAGACCCACAAAGCATGTGGAAGGGCATCAAGTGCATCACTGACTACAAAACCAGTGCTGCACAATGCACTACAGACCCCACTCTGCCTGAAGCCCTCAACGACTTCTACGCACGCTTTGAGGACCATGACACTCCACCCAGCACCAGACTTACCCCCCCACCTGGAGAGGTGCCACTCAGTGTGACGCCAGCAGAAGTGAGGAGGACCCTGAAAAGGATCAACCCACGAAAAGCTGCTGGCCCGGACAACATCCCRGGACGGGTTCTGAAGGACTGTGCTGATCAGCTCTGTGAGGTCCTGGCAGACATTTATAATGCATCCCTTTTTCAAGCBGCTGTTCCCGCCTGCCTGAAGACCGCGACCATCATCCCGGTCCCAAAGACATCCACAGTGAKGGGTCTGAATGACTATCGGCCAATAGCCCTCACGCCGATAGTCACAAAGTGCTTTGAAAGACTGGTAATGACCCACATCAAAGCCACCATCGATGTCACCGTAGACCCTCACAAGTACGCCTACAGGAAGAACCGCTCCATAGAAGATGCCATTTCTTCTGTGGTCCATACTGCTCTCACTCACTTGGAGAAGAGGAACTCCTATGTTCGTCTGCTATTTGTGGACTTCACATCGGCTTTCAYCACAATAATACCTCAGACCCTAATAAATAAACTCTCCTTACTTGGACTGCGCACTTCACTTTGCAACTGGGTCCTGGACTTCTTGACCAACAGGCCGCAGACTGTGAAGATTCACAACATCTCCTCCTCCACCACAGTCCTCAGCACTGGCTCCCCACAGGGCTGTGTGCTGAGTCCCCTCCTGTTTACGCTACTCACATACTGTATGACTGCTCTCCTCTCCATCCTGGCTGTCATATTGTGAAGTTTGCGGATGACACAGCAGTGGTTGGAAA